ATATATATTGAAGGTTTTACTTGATGTAGGTCGATCGACCCCATACGTCCTATTTTAAACTAGATTATCCGGTTTATTAATTTTTTGTTCAATTTTCTCAGCTTAAGTTAAACGAGGCGCATTTAATCCTAATTTAGTGGTTCTGTTTTAATGAATTCAATCGATTCACTACAAATTAAAAAATATAATAAGTATTAATTTTTAAAATATATTCCTCATTGATTGGTTAAAGTGAAATAAGTTTTTTGAATTTTCAATAAAAAAAATAAACAATTTTTATTTTGCTGTGATACATTTTTGTTTTAATTTCATTTTCAATAAAAAAAAATTGCCGGGAATTTGTTTATTATGTTCACCTTACCGTTATGTATTATGATAATTAATTAATTTATTGAACGGTTTAATATGGTTACAGGGTAATGTAATGAATACTGAATAGTGAATATACTAACAGCTGATATAACATTTATATAATAATTTGACATTATTTTCGATGAACTACACGCGTCCGATAAATAATTATTCCTAAGACAATGACATTTTATAAGATGTGATAATTATGTCGTCTGTGCTATTTTGAAATAATAAATTAGATAAAATAATTAATATTATAACATTTTTAATGACTGATATAAAGAAATAATAAATTATGAAATTATTAAATAAATAACAGCTCAATTTTGAAAAATAAAATTAAAACAATTAATGACATCATAAAAATTATAAAATATCGAAAGATTTTTTTTCAATCGATCAATTTACTAGTAATTTCTTTATTTGATATTAGTATACAATAACATTGATAGTAGATAGTTGTATAAAACGAGAACCCTGTATAGAAAACATAATCGTCAAAAATTGGAACAAATCATTGATAACCTCGACCAAACTAGTACAAAACATGTATAGTAATAATAATAGCTATATCTATAAATCATAGTCGGATAAAATTAATTAAATTATTAATAAAACATAATATTTAAATATCAAGGAACGCGATAATGTTATAATTTATAGTTACGTAGTGTAATGTATATAGTCTAATAAATATTCATACTCTTTTCAAAGGAAATAATACAACTGCCAACAAAATGAATACCTATATTAAGATAATTTACTATATAGCGTTATACAACAAAAATAATATTCAATACATACATTTATACATGTACGATTATAGGTACATATATTTTAATTTAATTTTAAAAATTATGATGTAAAATTAAATAGTTAAGTATAAAAATATAATAATAATATATTTATGTACCTATAGAATAATTATACATTTATACATTTTATAACATTATAACATTTATAACATTATTGTATTATTTTAAAATGTGTATAATTCAACTGTAAATGTCTCTGACTTGGTGGTTGTACCTATATTGCCTATATTAATTAGAAATATTTTTTTACAATCTAATAAAAACTGTCTCCAAATTTATTTTATAGATTAGCAAATGGCTTATTTTTTGTCCAATTATTCAATTGTTATCTAAATACACTTAGTAACTGTTATAATTACTGTTAAAGACAAAATTAAGGTGTTACCACTGGTTAATTAACTAAAATTTTTTTTAAATGTACCTAATTATAATTTTAACAATAATAATAATAAGTATATTTAAAGATGCATAAATCTATACAGAGTATATATAATATTATTAAATATATAATTAAAATTGTCAGATTTCCAAACCGAGTCATAATGAACGACTTTTATTCTTCTTGTAACCAGTTTACTTAAAATTGTTAATGATAGCAGATTTTTCATGTAAAAGTAACCTTAACTTACATCACATTATACTTATCTAATTAAAATCATAAATAAATTAATACATTAATTACATAATTTTTACTAATATTTTTCAATTATATTTCTTTTTCTTTGAAAAATGTTAGTTTTGCTATTTAATTTTGTTTTTTGTTTGAAAATGTTATTGTAAAACGTACTCTAAGATAATCCAAAATTTACTTTATACGAGATAAAATAATATTACCAATAATTATATATAACCAATAGTTAGTAGTATTTTTCCACAATTACAGCATTTTTGTAGTTTAATGTTTTAAATTATTATTGTTCCTGATGAGCCTTTATTATTATTGTTATTGTTTATACAGTGTGTTTTTATAACATTATGTTTTTTTTTTATTATATTCAACGATAAAGATCATTGAATGTAAGTACTGTTAATAATCAGTAATATATAATAAAACATCTCTCAACATCTAATAATCGTGACACAACATGAAACAACATGAAACACTAACAGGGACGTATCCGTGTAACTGAGACCGTCTCGATTCACGATTGTATATTTGTGGTATATACGAGTACTAGCTTGATTACCCGGCTTCGCACTGAACATTCTTGGCCATGACATAGGTCTTAATGGATTATTACCTAACACTATTTAAAGTCAAGTTTGGTGCAACTGTTGATGGTTATAAAACTAATAAAACGAAAGTTAAAATGAATGGGTAGTTTTGGTGGTACGCTGAATTACCTCTGAATTATCGTATTTGCCGGTTCCAATATTTTTTAAAATCCTTAAATTACATGTATTGAATATTGGAGAAACCACCATGTCAAAATTTCAAGTTCAAATAGTTTTGAAATGTAGCGATGATCAATGAGTGTGTAATACCTGACGTTGTCCGTTGAGAAAATTGTGAGTGTTCAACTCTTTTTGGGTGTTACCGTAGAACATATGCCTTTTTAAGTAAAAATCATCCGAAATAATGGTTGAAATAATAATTTAATATGTATTTCAATTTGTAAATATTAAATACAGTCATGTCTATCACACCTTGCTGTACCGTTTACTATATTTAAGTATATACTAATATCTTTATTACAATGTTCAATTTATCTTGGATCATTATTTTTTTTATTTATTCATTTTATCGAGAAAAGTTTGACAATCCAAGGTTTCAAATAAATGCTATTTATTGAAGTGCATTTGGATTACACAAAATTTTTTGATTTTTATTGATTTATATAGTTTAATATTTTACATAATTCTTAATCTGTGATTATTAAAATCAACATATTAAACAAATCAAATATTTTCTAGGTAAACGAAAAATAAAAAATGTATACATTCAGTCCGAAACTGTTTCAACTCTTAAATATGTGATTTTCGAAAAATCGTTTCTTATTACACGGTGAAAGTATTAGAGGAACCACTATTCTAAATTACAGGTGCGTACGTTGAATAGTTTTTTGAGATTCAACGATCAGTGAGTCAGTGGTATTCTAGGGCATTATTTTAACTTTTGAAAGGGTAGGGCAACTGATTAAATTTGTTGACTTCATAATATTTAAAAAATTATGGTTATACCTATATATTTAAATATTTAATATTTATGACGATAGACTGTAAATAAAATATTTTTTTGGGAAAATAACATGTAAGGATTAATAATGAATAATGATGTCATGATGATTAACAAAAAACATGAAACGTTTCAATATAGCATATATCAATATAGGTATGTGTATAATATTAAAGCAGATCGCTAGAGAAAAGTGTGAGTATCTTATAAAATTGATCCACAGGGACACGTACCCTCCCTATCAATAGACTACAGAAAAATGTTGACATAAAACATTTACAAATAAATGTTATTTATTTTTTTATTTATATAATATACTTAATAGTAATGGTTTTAAATGCTAAATAAATATTTATATATTTGTTAGATAGCCGATGTTGTCGAACGTCAAAGGCCATTATGATATTATCGTTCTTCTTCTTCTTCTATGAGTTCCTCTCCGTTCCGGATGTTGGATATTATATTTGCAATGTCATTCCTGTCAAGTGATGCCCGAAATAACTCAATCGATGTTATATTGTACCAGTCGCGGAGATTCTTCATCCAAGATATTCGTCTTCTTCCAACACTTCTTTTTCCTTCTATCTTTTCTTGTAATATAAGTTGGAGTACATTGTATCGTTGATTCAATTTACTCATAATGTGTTCAATGTATTCAAGCTTTTGTGTTTTTATTGTATTTAATAGCTCCTTCTGTTTTCCCATCTTTTCTAATACCCTTTGGTTACTAATTCGATCTGTCCATGAAATTTTTAACATACGCCTATACAACCACATTTCAAAGGCTTAAATTTAGGGGCGTATTTAGGTGGGTGATACGGGTATTAGAACACCCCGTATTTTATGGTATTTCACCAGATGCAAACTTACTTAAAGCGTAATTTGAAGAAACGTATACAACTTGTAGATTTTACATATACTGTCTTAATATAATCGTTTTCATTTATATAATAATTTATATAAATACCTACATGATATTCATTAATGTAGTACGGGAAGGGGAAGAGCCCCCCACTTACTATAAGTCTATTCAATTTTAAAACACCCCCGTTATATGAATTCTGGGTACGCCACTGTTTCAATTTCTTTGCTTGTTAATTTTGTAAACGTCTAAGTTTCGACTCCATATAATAATACAGAAAACACATAACATTTTAACAGTCTGATTTTTGTGGCAAAAGATAAATAAAATAAAATAAAATCATGACACTTGAAAACCTTCGACATTTTTCGAAATACTTCCCTACCTATTTCAATTCTACATTTTATTTCTAATGCTTGATCCCAATCTTCGTTTATTGTTGTTCCGAAGCATATTATCGATAGTTTATTAAATATAATAATAATCCCCCCTCCCATTGAAAAAATTCCGGATCCGCCTCTGGAAGTTATAGTAATCAATGCTAATTCCTACGCGGCCGAAAGGTGTATTGTATACGTCGTTCGACCGTTCGACGGCGCTTGGCACCGAGACGTATATTTTGCGGTCGACGCCGACAGCGGTGCAGTACCTCCACTGGGTTTGGAGGAAAGCTGCGCAGCCGGAACGACGCGTACACCGTTGCACATCGGTGCACTGATAGCAACGCTGCGCGTACGTCAATCGGTTTTTATTCTTGTTTTTTTTTTTTATTTTATTCCCTGTCATTCCCAATATCTACGCCGGGTGTCTTCTCGCTACGCACGTCGCACACGCACACACACATCACCATTGCCATCCGGTGGCCGTTCTTTTCTCTCTATTTTTCTTTAAAACATTTTTCTTTTCTTTTAAAAACTTCTAAAAACCCTTTTAACTCGTGCGCGTGCACCTTGTCACCGGTATATTTTACTCGCCGACGAGACAAACTATTTCCGCCGCCGCCGCCGCTGCTGCCGCTTTTATTCGTCTACCGCAGATCACGAACGAAACCGCTTAACAACATGTCGTCTTGGCAAGATTACGTCGACAAACACTTGCTGGCGTCCAGGTGCGTGACCAAAGCCGCCATCGCCGGCCATGACGGAAACGTGTGGGCCAAGTCTGAAGGATTCGACGTGAGTATAAACGGTCTTTGTCGCCCTTAAACCCATGATGCTGGTCCTGATGCCGCGTGCTCTTCTCGTGACCATTCCCACGTCAGATCCGCGATCCGTTCGCGATAGATCGACCGTGCGCATTTCACGGCGTCATCTTGGTTAGATTCGGTCAGCCAAAGCCCACGCCAATGTGCTTTTTTTCATTCGTCTATGTGTTGTCCTGTGATTTGCACGACGTTTTGTTCATTTTATCGATGATTTTTTTCCTCTCGTTAACAATAGGTTTTTACAGTCAAAATTAATCTTAAAATCATGTTTTTTATTCTAACCTAACCTAATTATAACACTATATATGTTACTTACTCATTACTCTATCTATTTTTCTTTATTGTGTTCTTAAATGATACTGATGTTATTATTTATTTATTTTTCACCGTAATAATTTATCCCAACAATTCATACATTTTTCCATTATAAATAGATATAATTATACTAGTCATTATTAACCGTTGTATATCTAATTTCTATCTACCCAGCTTAATACTATTATACTATGTTATTTTAACTAATCATATTCTAACTAGTATACATTTTTAATTTGTTAAAACTTTCATTAGATACCTAATTATTAGATTATTCATTAGATACATGTTAAATTTATTCCAAGTTCTGTTTTCTTAAATAAGGTATCAAAAGAAGAATTGAGTAAAATTGCTCTGGGTTTTGACAATCAAGATACATTGACATCTTCTGGCATTACTCTAGCTGGTGTTCGTTATATTTATCTATCGGGTACTGACAAAGTTATCCGAGCTAAACAAGGAAAAGTTGGTGCTCATTGTGTAAAAACACAACAAAGTAAGTTATATTTTTTATATTAATTTTAAAATAAATCCCTTTAACATGTATAATTAAGGAAAACAAATATATTTTTAGCTTAATTGTTTAAAAGTTTTTAACTCTAGATATATTGATATCATTTTAATGAAAACTTAAATATTTTAATCAGTTTTCAATATATATAATTTTTGATTTTAAATTATTTTTATGTATAGCTATTGTTGTATCATTATACGAGGATCCGGTTCAACCACAACAAGCTGCATTGGTTGTCGAAAAACTTGGAGATCATTTAGTTTCACATGGTTATTAAACAATGTAAGTCAAATCCTACTTTATATTTTGAAAATAAACGGCAGATGTGATACTTCATAAATCGACTTCTTATTACATATTTTGTGTTTAATTTATTTGATTACCTCAATTTACTTTACAATTTTATTCAGATATGGATTTCAATAAATTACTAAGTATTACAATTTGCTTTAATAATAATCTTGCTCTTACCATATTTTTCAATTTCAATATTCCATTACTATTAATTATGAAACTAAAAATTAATTAATTGCAGCTAAAATTAAAATTAGTGTGATACTAATTCCAAATTGGTTATTCTTCAATACTTGCTGTATGTTAAATATTGAAATAATTATTTACAGTGCAACGAAAAATATAACATTGAAGCTCACCAAGAACAAGACTCCTTAAAAATATTTATTGTATCCCATATTAAATTATAGATATTTGAATATATATATATATATATAATTTTACTATAATTTATAACTGTAAAATTAATATATTTAAATATTATCAAAATTTGTACTGAAGCTATGTTAAAATATTAAGTCTTGTTCTAGGTAAGAAAAAAAAAAATCTATCCCCAGTAATATGCATTTTTAAATTTGTATTTAACTTAGTAATTATTATTTTTTTAACCGTCATACTTAATAATAAGTCTTGAAATTATTTAAAATAAACAATATTTTATTTCAAATGTTTTTTTTTTTTTTTTATTATTATTGTTAAGTACTATTATAAAATATACATATATTATCATTGTGATTAATAAGAATTGGATATTTATCGGTTAATTTTTTTTTTACAAGATCAAAATTATTTTACTCTCATTTATTAATGATTATTTAAAATGAAATCAAATGATATTAATATGTATATATTATTCTGTAATAACCTTTATATTTCTTAAGCTTTATATGTTTATGATATTTACTGCAGTGTGAAAGTTTGAATTTTATATTCCTATTGATTTACTTTAAAATATTGATTCAATCAATTATTTAAAAAGGGCTTCTTTTTGTATGAAGACTTCAAGTACATTTTTCCATTTATTTTTGGTGTAATATATTTCTATATACATATAAATTTAAATGTTTTTATTTTCAGTTAAGTTATAACTCCATTTCGTAATAATATCTACATATAAAACACAACTTTTTCAATCTGCTCATTAGTAATGTTAAATTGTCTATTCCTGAGGACCTTATTAAATAATAGAGTTCTGATTGTATTAATGAAGTTATAATAAAATATTATGTAATTTTGATAAAATGGTTTGCCCCACAATTTAACATGCAACAAAACTAAATTTTAAAATCAAATTAATTTTATATAATTAAAATTATTGATATTATTATAATAATAATAAAGACTACCACAATAAACTATTCCCAAATTAAATGTTAAAGTATTATAATTATTTACTATTTATATTATCTTAAAATAGTCATCATTTGATGTATTGTTCTATTAATTTAAACCATAAACCAGTAAGTTGATATTTAATGTAATATATGTAGCAATCAAAAATATAATTGATATCCTTTGTAATAATTATTTGTGTATTGTATACCTTTTCATTCTTTACTTTGATAAACATGGGTTATTAGTTCTTATCGTTCATTAAATTATATTTGAACTGATGTTATATTTGATAATATGCATTTTTATATCTAATGCAAAACCCATCATTATTAGTCTACATTTTATTTAATTAGGAATGTGTGTGTGTGTTAACTAATTTGATTATAATTGAAGTTACTAAGCATTTAAGAATTTTATAATTTTTTCATAGTTTTAGAATTTTTCATTCACATTATAAATATTAATTAATGATTTTACTTATTGGTTATTTTTATACTATTCTGCTACTGGAAAATATTTTATTTTTGAATATATTCCTTGTCCATTTATATAGAAAGGTATATAATATAAATTATGTTTATCAGTTCTAATTAGTGTTGATGGACATGTAATTTTTTAATTTGGTTTTTTAAAGTGACAAATTATTAGTCAAAAATTATATTTTATTTTGTTTATGGATATGGATTTCAAACTATTATTGAATGCCAGATATTTGTGAAGAGTTGAAGTGGTTTTTTTTTGTGAATGGATTTTATTTATATTCACTCATATTTGCCAACAGTTAAGTTCTCAAAGGAAAGTTTTATAAAAAACTGAAATAATTATTTAGAACCTATTTATTATAAAATTCCAAAATTTTTCAAATTTCAAAACAAACTTAATTACTTTTGAAGTCTACATTTTGTGTCTGAGATAATTGTTAAATCTGCCAATGTGTATTAAAAATTCATTACAACAATCAAACTATAACAACATATTATTTATTTATTTAAGGATTTTATTTTTATTCAATTATTAATGTATAATAAATTTATTAATACCTTTTAATTTTTTATAATTACTTTAAAATGCTGGGTCATAAATTCAGCAGTATTAATATTTTACCTTTTTAACATTCAAAAATTGTGTCAAGATTAGTATTAAAATAAATAATTGTTGTATTTATTTTAGTACTTACCATAATAATGTCTTATAATGAAAAGTGATTATGTACTATTATCATTTTTATTAGTACAGCCTCAGAATAAGCAAATGGAAATGCTTACTACAGTATGCCATACGGACTTTAACAGCGGATTCTACTCTATAACTCACATATTAAAATAGCAAAAGAACATTTTCCCCTGTAAAAACAACTTTTTGCTAATAATGAATATTAATAGAAATTTAATGAAATCACCAAAGTTCATTATTGTAAAATGTGATACTGCGACAAAGTATGTATCATGAATTATTTAAACCTAAAATATTTTCAATTTTTGTTAAGTATCCAAGCCTGGGCATAAACGAGTTAAAAAGTTAAAGTTATGTTAATTTTAACTTTTTAATTGATATAAACTTAATAAATAACGAGTTACTTTTAATTAAATCTAAGTTATTTTTAAATAATTAAATAATAAATATAATAAAATTATTATTGATTATGCATACTACATAATCATTTACCAGAATAGAAAATTAGAAATGTAGTTAAATTTAATCAAAATTCCTCAAGAAAAATAACTTAATTTAATACATATAGTAATTGCTATAATATAGCTATATTAGTAGCCAATAGGTATATTATATTATAATATATTGGTGTATTGTATATATAATAATATAATATATTGTACATTGTATCCTAGTTTTGATTAAACATAGTTTCGAAAATGTTCTTTTGCAGGTGCAACTAGTTACAGGAATGGCAACAAATATTTTTAGTATTTTGAAAAATTTTAAATGTATAGTTTCTCTTTCACAACAATGTTCTAATTACCATTTAATCCGATTTTCAATAATTTAATAATTTGGTACATCAGCAGTATATTTTAGCAGATTTATTTTTGTTTTTAGTGCATAACTGTCTACATCAAATGCATTCTTAAACAAATTAATGTAGTGTACAATCATAAATAAATTAGAAAACTTATTATGTATGAAACAAACACAAAATCTGTTTCCTTAATCGACGCTATATGCGAAACAATAAAAATGAATCCGGTAAACACATTTACTACATTTACATGCAAAATTAAAGGCGGTTTAAAGGTTAAAGTGAATAATGAATCATGAATTATGTAAACGCTTTAAAGCGATCTTGATTACATAAACCGCTTTTATTTTAAGGATGCTCGAATATGTAGTTTAACCAAAATAAATCGGTTTAATAATTAAAATCGGCTGTATTTTTGTACATGGAAACTGAATCGATTTTATTTTGATAAGTGATAACATAACACATTATTCAGATTTTATTTTTATGAATATTTTAATTATACTTATTAGTCGTAACTATTATATGTATGCAAGGCTGTATCTAGAAATATTTTTCGAGAGGGGTCCAAAACATGTATATTGTAATTTTATTGAATTTAGATTATAACTTTTTTTGGTTAAAAATAAGACAAAAAAAGATTTAATCTTCTTTTATTAAAATTAATATCATATTTTTACATGATATAATGATATAAAATTAAAAGCAATCAATGATTAATTGGAGTTTTAGTCATTTTTAACTGAAAATATTTATGTTGGTATTAAAAATAAATAAGTATTTTAAACATTCGTAAAATATTGAAGAAATTTCGATGGGTTTCCAGACACCCTGGACCTCCCCTCAGATACAGCCTTGTATGTATGTATTAGAAACTAATAATTGTATTAGGAATGAATAACCCAATCAAAAGATGTAGTTGGAGTTTTGTAGAAATAGCTACATTAGTTGCTTCTTTAAAAGAAAATAATACTATGAAATTGCTAGATGGGAAACGATGGCGTTGTAATAAGAGTTTAAATTTACTGCGACGTGCCTCGTATATAAGTTTATACAGGTTTAAACAAATGATTGCTTATATAGAATCTATATTAAATAAGTTTTTAAATAATAAACAATTTTTTGATACAAATATTTTTTTAAACAAATTATTGATAGTTAATAATTATTAAAAATAATAATGGATCTGAAAGAAATACCAATGTCATGGAATAATGAAAATGATGCTTTAATATTACTCACATGCAGTGGTGTAGTTACGGGGAGGGTTTAGGGGTTTCCCCCTCCCAAAGATTTTTTTTTTTAATAATATTTGATTATTATTTATTAAATTTACATATTATAGTAAAATATTTTGATTTTACTATGATTAGGTATATATTAAAAATTGATTAACAAAATAATTTTCATTAAATACGGAACATAATAATAATACCATTTTAAATGTAATATTATTACATATGACCTCGTTTTAAGTTATACTAAGAACACTTAAAAACTTACTCTTAAACACCCCCTCCCTAGAAAAAAATTATATCTACGCCACTGTTCACTTGTAAACAAGTCAGACAATTTAAATTGACTTAGAATAAAATCAGTTTAAATTAAGAACGGCTTAACTCTTATCATGTAAACGTAGTAATTGATTAGGTATGCTCCTAACCAGTGTCGCAACTAGGGCTGGGGTTTGGGGGTATTACCCCCCCCCTCCCGAAAATTTCCTGAAGTTTTTACAAATTTTACATAGGCAAAAAAATGGTTTATCTTGAATACGCGAAACGGTTGATGGATATGAAATATGAATATTATTTGTATTATAATTGATAACAATAATAACATGACGATATGGAACGTTTTGTAACGTTCTGTTCAACTTTAAAACAATAACTTTGCTACTACGATTTCTGGATATTTTATTATACTTTTTTTTTTGTGGTATCACAATATGAAATAGAAGTTAAACAATTTAATTTGTAATTTAAATATTTAAAGCATCATAATATCCTTATCGATAATTTAATGTCCAAATCAAAGAATCAAACAACGAAATACATGTTGCTTTTAACCTCGACCCAAATATAAAATTGAGCCGGTGGTATACAGACATAAGATTTGAATACGGGTGAGCGT